GGTTTATTGTATATGATGGGTTACAGTAACCGCATGGAATTCAAAGGTGGAAGGAGTGAAGTTAGGTAGCTTGAAGAGGGAAAAGCTCCATTTGGGAGAGAGCAGGAGACCAGTGCCACCTCCTCTGCTAGTGGGTCTGGGTTTGTGGGTGAAGGAATATGCTGTGGAGAGAGCTGCTGGGATGGTTGTGTTGGATGGAGTAATCCAGGTCTCAGTGAGAGCAAGGAAATCCAGAGACTGCAGGGAAGCTTAGCCAGATATGAAGTCAGCCTTAGGAACAGCTGACTGGCAGTTCCACAGGCCACCTGTAACTAGATGTTGGGTGGAGCATGTGGGATAGACGAGAGCAGGCCGGTTATAACGATTAGGAGAAACACAGGGCCAGTAGTAATTGCGAGGGGACGCATGAATGGAATATATACGCATGTTTTAGCATGAGGGGCTAAAAAACACCAGCGATACTTAGCTCAATCAAAGTAGGATTTTCCTCCTCTTTGCATCCCTCGTGACTCCCTTAGGACTCTATTGTCTTCGTCTGTCTGACGCTCCAGGAAAGTGCAGCCTAAAATGGACACTAGTCCTGATTGCTGAGTTGTCACAGCTGTGGGCCTACGCCCCTTTAATTAGTTAACTCTCTGCAGCTGATGGGCACCAACTGAAACTGTCTCACTTCACGCAATCAGCTGAGCCTTCAGGCCTATTGTACTGCACTTTTTGAGACAAGCGTCAGACTAAACCCTAGTTACATAGGTTTTAAGATAACCCTACTACAATAACCCCTAGTAAAGCACTCAGTATTTGTACAATTGTTTAGTTAAAGAGAACCCTGAGAAGCAAATGTTTCAGTTTTTTAAGATTTCTGAAAAAGTTAGTTACCTAGATTTCAGCCTGCAAAAAAGGTTTTTTAGCTGTTCTGAGATTTCAAAACAATTTTAGCCAGAATAACTACAGAACAATTATACAGAGTAGAATGAATGAAACAGAGAGGTCTAGAGACAAAAATAGAACTTACACAGATTTCTGATTCAGCCAGAGAGTCCTATCTGGTCAGGATAGAACACATTTCACTCCGTCTCATTGAGATGTTATGCATGGGAAAAACTAAATAGAGTATAAAAAAATATTTAAAAAATACATACAGTATTGACTAAGAAAATTACATTGAGCTACTCTTCCTCTGCCTGTTTTTTGTCTTAAACAAAATGTAATATGAGCATTTCTTTAATATTTGTCTTTAATATTCTGTGTGACATCTCTGCTTAATAACTTTCAGGCAGTTATTAGCAGCCCAGACATAGACGACTTTATCCAAAGATATCAGCATTTACCTCCATCGACCAGTTTATGCAAACTCTCTAAAAACTTAAAGGGAGGATATGAATAGCCGTAAAGCATCTTTATACCGGGTAGAGGTTTTATTCCTCAGTCAGACTGCTTGGAGCCAAACTATCTTTTATCTGCTCTCGCTCTCTTTTTTTCTTTATGTTCTTTCTTATTCATATCTGATTTCAAGCAGTAGATATTGGGTCCTTTGAGCTAAGCCAGTTAAGATATGTCCTCTCTGGTTTATTTGAGCTGATCAACCAAAGATCAGAGGATTGTGTGTCTGGTTGTATGAATGGGGAGATAGGCCTGTTGGGGAAAACAATATTATACTGCTTTAAACGCTGCAAAAACAAAACAAAATCCCCCTTGCACAATTCTTGATTGATTTCCCTTTGTGAAATTGTGCTCTGAGCTGGATAGTTCATCCTCCCGGGAGCAGAGGCATTAAAGTGGCACTTTAATTTTTGCCACTGGGCACCGCTGAGCGATATCTTCATCACGGCATCACGGCATCATTTTCACTTCAGACTCACTAAACTGTCTGTCAGCAGCAGTCAAACGTTGAAAAGGCCTCAACTCCACAGGGATCGGTAACAAGAGAGATGGTTATCAGTGTACTGTATAATCATTGGAGGATGGGATTATCTCTGTCAGACCCAGGCACACAAGATAAATGGCTTGTGTGAATGAAAAGTCCTCCCTTTATAGATGAATCCAAGTTGCCATTAGCCGTGCCCTGCTATTCAAACTAGCATGCCATCTGCCGAGACCCCATTCACCCTCCCAACACACATTCATACATGCACGCACACACATACGCACAACTGATCAGTGGGCTCGGTTGGAGCCATTGGGTAGCTATCATTGTCCGTTAATCTAATGAGACTGGAGCAGCATACTACTATACATAATACTATACACTGTAGAAGTATACATACTGAAGGGCAAGGCAGGTCAAATCATTTTTTCATAAAGTAAAATCAATGTGTAACGACAAGTAACAGATACATATATATAGTCAGATACACAAATACAGTAACAAATCCTTATACTGAGACAATCAAAGTTCTGCAATTGTGTCAGTAAGCAGTATAGACTGTAGCTTAAGCCTTATCTTAATGCACCTATTGTGACCTGCACATAATTATCATCAGGCAGACCTGCTGGTCGCTCAGTGTTTCCCCTACCATTGTCTTGGGGGGGCGCTGCGCCACCCCAACGGAGCTCCGCGCCCCCCCTGAAATTCAAGGTGATAATGTTTTTATATATAATATATATATATATATATATATAGCGCCAAATCGCAACTGAAGTAATCTATCTACGGTCACTTTTCGCATTGAACATGTGCTCTTTTATTAAATAAACCAAACGCTTAGGTTAAATACACACAGACCATTACTATGTGTAGTGCAATTCACTCCTATAGCACAAAATATATATGGTGTAAGAATTTTTTAGATGGTATTGTCAGTTGTCTGATGAAATGCTGAATGGGATGAAGTCATCTATACGTTAGAACTTTTTTTGAACCTCCCTGTATTGCAATTCTGTGGTTTGCAAACATTTTAAAGCACACTCAAATCAGAGTCACTTATAAGAACTTAGAAATACCTCATGGATACATAATCAATCTGCTATTGTTTTACCCTTAAAGCTTTAAAAACATATAAGTGCATGTTCCTTTACACGTTTTCCTTCCACCCCCCCCCCCACACACACACACACACACACGTGCAGCAAGCTGATTTCTGTCACCAATCAAGCTCCATTTTCCAACCGAATTAATTATTTCTAATTTGCAGCTTCTAGTGGTCAACCCCCTGTGGTGAGCTGCAACTGAGCTTTGTGTGTGTGTGTGCGTGCGCATGTGCGTGCGTGTGAAGTAGGGAACGTTCTACAATAGATCTTAATTGAGAAGACGGACTGCAATCAGCATATTCTTGTAGGAAATCATTAAATAATTTCTTCCTCCCCTCTCTTTTTCTCTTTCTCCTTATGTGGTGATTAGCATGGTAATGATAGCATCCTGATTATGTCCATCAGAAGAAATATGACATCTGTGGAGGAAATGAAAGTAGAAATGAAAGAAAGAAAAAAAAAAACTTTAACTCTTCCAATTAACATGATGTATTAAAATGCACATAATATATTGCAATGGTTCTTGGTTAAAGGGTAGGAGCTGAGACAAAAACATGATTCAAAGTCTCATGTTGCTACTAAAGAACAACATGTTTTTACCTCCCTCTTCAATTCGGCTAGATGCACACATGAGCTAAAGAGTTTCTGCTGAAATGGTATCAATAAACTAAAATTACAGATCTTAAATATCTGGGTATGATTGCCTTAATTGAAAAATATAATTTTGTGTTTTTCAAATTAATCCTGAGGAGGAAGGCAGTCTTTTGAGTGTCTCTTTTTTCATGATTACTGCAGTTTCTACACATTTCATTTTAAAACACGACTCCCAGAATAAACTGAACATCACAGTCTGATGTTTATCTGACGTCTTATATTAATATGTTTTGCAAAATAACTTAAAACCTGCTTCCTGAATTCTAGAAAATGCCGTTATTAAGGTGAGCTCATGCTATGCAGTACATCAACCATTGGTATGACTCTTTAGTGTAAAAGCAAAGGTGGCCAGAAAGAGATTATTATTTTCTTCATGTTTATTTATTTTTCACCATTTTTATCTTAGATGTGGATCTTTATTCTTCAGTAAAAGCTCTTGGCTTTTGCTTTTTAGACATAAAGAACCCCTACTGGTACAGCCTTGACTCCTTGGACTTTGGATATAGTGGGTACATGATGAATTCTGCCAGATGCTTTTATTCATTTTTTCCAGTATAAGAGGCATATAAAATCAAAAGAAAAGAGGCAGTGTGTTGTAGAAGGTCTTGAGTGAAAAGAATGCAGACAGCGCCGGGAATGTTAATGGAACCTTCATCCTATCTAAAGCTAGCAGCTATCATTCATCCCTAAGAGATGTTGCCTTTTCTTTCCATTTGCATTGACTTCATCACATCAAATACCTACAGAGCTTTAATTTTCTGACCTTAGATTCATAACTTCCAAGGCTTATAGAAACCACTTGTTCATCATGTCTGTCCTTTAGTCTTAGGTTTGTCAACTATCAGTTGTAACTTAAATGTTAATTATAATACGGTCATCCAACAAAAAAACTACTATTCAAAACATTAGAAATCTTATTTGTATCAAAATGAACCTTAGAGCTTTTACAAAGTGCAGATTTAAAACAAAAAAAGTCTGGCCGTCAGTGTTGTGTAGCAGTTAATCAAACGAGATAAAAGTTTTAAATAAATTAAATGTATCTGTGATGTATATGTAAATTAAATCTTTACATTCTGCGTTTCTACATAATGTAGGTTGTAGAATAACGTTTGTGCCTTGAAACACACGTATTTTAAGATCAACAAATAGTTTGAGGAGTTGTAAAACAATGAATTTGTAAACTTAACAACATAAAAGTGGCCTTCTTCTATCTGCTATCCCTCATTGAAAACATATGAGCAACAGTAGTTAAGACTTACACTAACATATGTAACATGGAAACAAACTCGCACTTGTTCACCCCTATTGCCTTTCCCCTCCATGCATGTACAAAATGTAACCCCTTTTTATTTATATGTTTCTTCTCTCTGTGTCATTAGGAGATGGCTAAGATATTAAATCATCCGCGGGTCTATGGCTTCCTTCATGTTCCTGTGCAGTCGGCCTCAGACAGTGTCCTGATGGACATGAAGAGAGAGTATTGCATCGATGACTTCAAGAAAGTGGTGGACTTCCTCAAAGAGAAGTAAGACAGGATGTGTCCTGATGTCACCAATATACGTTTTATATGTTTCTCCTCTCACTTCTTCATTGTAAATAGCCATTTGTTTGTGTGGGTGCCTGTGTCCAAGCTCTCATAAAGGTGTTTGGAAAACATCTCTTTCTTTTATTCTCTCCCTTTGTCTCTCAATACTTCACTTTAAGACTCATATAGGTGAGACTTGTACAATAATATTAGTGGTTTAGCAAACTGTATGTCTTTACTCATTCCATATATACTTTCATATGTAATCACACTCGATCACAATCAAGTGAAAAAGTGAATTAGCTAGACTTTGGTTTATGTACTGCCTCAGATACAATTCATTTCAGCAGAGATATTAGAAAGTATAATTCATCGTACTGCCAACCGTATACCGTCTATGCGTTTTACAAGCAATGAAAGCAAGCTTTACTTTTTTAGAAATATAAGTTTTTGATGGACAACATTGATGTGTTCTTTTCTAAACCTCTCTCTTTTGTTACAGTCTTTCCATCTTTATTTCACTTCTCATTTATCACAACATTACTTTACAAGGTTACACATTTCAAACATGGATTTAATAGACAAGTTGAAGGAGAACTTAGTGCCGCACTCGAGCTACACTATTCCAAAATAAACACACATGGAGCTTAACATGTGCTCTCCTGGTATGGATTAGTCACAGCCCCACCATAACAAAAAATGATATTTGAAAAATGCACATATAGCATGGATTTGATCTTTGACAAATATAAGAATGATGCAAACTTAATCTTCTCCTTTATGAAAGATAATCTGTCATGGAATTTGAGTTCAATTAATTAAGCCAGTGCATGTCAGAAGTAGTCAATAAATATAGAATTGTTGCTCCGATAATACGCTTAAAGGGGATCCATATTAAAATGAGGTTGGATCCCATTTCTGGCCTGAATCTCTAGATTTTATTGTGTGATTAAGAACAAACATCTTTATTCATGCAATGGTATGTATAAGCAAGCATGTTATTGCTCTTGCCAGATGATAACCTCTTATTTTTAAGGAAGTAATAATCTTCCATGGAATTAAATGACACAATGCATGTTTTGAGATTAGTACCGACTAAGGTATGTCTGCTGCTTCATTGCACTTTTCTCTGCTGGATTATGTTTATCTCAATCCCATATATAGATCTTATATAGTAATACCTATATGTTCCCATTGCAGTCTTGTCTTTTGACGTTGCAGATTAAATTCATTTTGTTCACGTCGAGTTTTCTCTAAGCAGATGAGATGCATGTACTGCAGCAATCAATAGATTTCATGTAGCTGCTTCATGTAGGTCAACAGTCAAGCCATAGGCTTAAATATAAAATGTACAACTGGGTTAACAAGACTATCATCTAGGTCACTGTACAGCTATCGGTTTGAAGTTTAGTGCATTTAACTATATGGACAGTGTTTGTGCATCAGCCACTATGTGAGTCAGTATATCTGTTGATGATCACTCTGACACACTTTCTCTCCGTTTCTCACATTACCTCTTCTCCACACGCGTCTCCCATCCTGTCGTCCTCAACTCCCCTTTATATTTCCCTCTGGCACTGTGTAGAAACCCAACATACCTCTCTAGCTTGAAGTACGTCTCTGTTCGACTTGCTTTTCTCTTGTCTTGAACTCCATAACACTAACTTAACATACATTTGGCATTTTCTGTTAACCCCCCATTGAATTTTCATGCTTAAAATTGCCATATATATATATATATATAATATTAATACATCTAAATAATTAGCATTCACAATTAACTGCTTTATCATCCTCTACAGTAGTTGTCATCTCAAATGAGTGACATTTTATAAGAAGTAATAATGGTTTTACAATATATTATAACAGGCCACTTCCATCTGGAAAACAGCAGCCTCTTCTTGTTTGTCCCACAAACTTATTTTAGTTGTGCTTTGCTCAAGGTAGATAGTAGATACAGTATTCATTTGAAATACATGCGTAATGATAAATACATCTGAAATGTTATGTATAGCATACTAAAGACTTTATAATTAAATGTTTTTTTTATCCAGGGTTTTCTTGTTTCTCAAGGGCTTCTTGAAAATAACTACAGTATTTAGTTTTATTTTCTCCCTCTCCATCTGTCATATTCAACTTGTTTGTGTCTTTGTCTTTGTGTATGTGTGGGCGACAGGTCCTTAACTTGACATTTGAATCATGTCTGTCCATCTTCCTCTCAGCACATCTTTTAGAACTGAAAGCTTCTGATTGGGCGCAGTGTGCGGGCATTTCTTCCACTAGAGTTGAGGGCTTCACCATTCCTTTAAATCCGTCCTTTTAAGTTCCTTCTGAAGGGGCCTTGAGTTGAGGAGTGATAACAGTGTTTTTGCTTCAACACTGACTCAGATGCTTATCTGTGTGTGTATGTGCCTGTGTGTGTGTGTATGTTAGGTAACTGTTTAGCCTGGAGATGAGGTGTGTACCCGTCTCAAGCTGTTTTTTTAAGGACAGGAAATTCAAACAAAGTGACACACACAGAGACACACAACTTGCCACACACAGAGTTGGTCATAAGATGTTGTTTACATAATCTGTCTGGCTATCCCTTTTTTTTTTTTTTTTGTATATGTGTGTGCGTGGTTACTACATTTCTGGCTTCTGTTACTTAAACACACACATTCAGACACACGGGTGATGTCTGTTGTGTGAAATCAATACCAGCACACATTCAGTGGTATGACCCATTTGGCTGCAGCAGTAATAGCCGGGGTGCAATTCAGGGTCTGGGAGACACGCCAGGGCACTGGACAAGCCAACAAACACAACCACTCTGTGTGTGTGTGTGTGTGTGTGTGTGTGTGTGTGTGTGTGTGTGTGTGTGTGTGTGTGTGTGTATCATACACACACTATCTTCTTTCGTGAAGGGATATCTTTTTAGGCACCTAATCCTGAGATGTATATTTCAGACACTTTTAAGAGATGTCAAAAAGAGAAAGGGTAGCAACAGAGGAGGCCTTTTAACATATAAGACATGTTTCTTATGTATGTTCTCATTATGTTTTTGTAGCAAGATTGAATAGAAAATAGAAGCACTGACTTACGGTAGTAATTATTATCTTGTATTTTATTTTTGTATATGTTGGGCAAGTCTCTTCCTATTCAAAGGTCTGGTTAATCTTATCTGTTGTAATCTCACCTTTACAGAAATAGTCAGTCTATCACTTTGTTTTTGTTGAGCCACAGGCTACATGGGCCTGTTTCTATATATTTTTTTCTTGCTGTGTTTGAAATACTTATCTAGGAAAATAAGGCCCCACACGATGCTCTCTGTGCAGTATTTCATTAAGTGTTTTTACTGACTCACTCTACTTTTGGCACTGGTGCACTCATGCAAACAGGAACAACTCAAGGTGAAAGGGGAAGTGTGTGTGTGTGTGTGTGTGTGTGTGTGTGTGTGTGGTGTGTGTGTGTGTGTGTGTGTGTGTGTGTGTGTGTGTGTGTGTGTGTGTGTGTGTGTGTGTGTGTGTGTGTGTGTGTGTGTGTGTGTGTGTGTGTGTGTGTGTGTGTGTGTGTGTGTTTGGTCTGTGTGTCTGTGAGCCAGACTCACAGGTGACTGTTCATGTAGATTCTTACAATTAGTCCTTTGTTGGAGCCATGTAAAGTTCACCTTTTAAGAATGTGACAGACAGGAACCTTGTGCAGGTATGTGTGAGGTCAGAGCTTATCTGACTGACACACACAGCAGAAGACAAATGTATTTCTCTTTACAAACAGCTTAATGCCACCAACACTGCAGAGGTCATGGGGGTTCAAATGCCTCTGGCCTTCCTTATCACAGAAAACCAGTTCACACACATAAACCAACATGCACACACACACACATCAGACCTCCCTCCTTGACATCCTTCATAGCTGAGGATCTTGAACTCTATGATGTACTTAACCAGTTAACGCAACATCTTGCAAGAAACAGCGTCTGAGGGCTTCTTAACATTTAATAAACTATGAATGTGTCATACTCACTTAACGGGAAGAAACTCAGCTTTCAGACAATATCAACCATGTTAAGCTAAACGAAACAAAAGGGTAATAACAAATGCTCTGAATTAGCCCTTAGCGAAAAACGCTAACGCAATTAGCAAAGAACGCAAGGTAAAATACCCTTATTACTTATCGTATCTGCACAAACAAGATATCGATTAGCAAGCTGAGATTCCACAGATTCCAGACATATAACTATCATCACTGAGCGATCAGAACTTGCGACAGGGGAAGCAAACATAGACATCACAATACGTAGCTTCACGGAGAAACCACTTGACCAAGGGGGGCCATAGATATGGAAAATGCACCCAAATCACCCCAGAAGTGGGGTTTTTTTCTAAATCTCTATAAAGGTCAAATGTCACTTGTTTTGCATTAATCTTGATACAGGGTACTTATTATATGTTATAGTTTGGATTCCTAAAGCTTTTAGTCTACTATCCCCTCATTCAAGGGTGGTTTTCACTATAAGTAAGGGTTTTTCTTTTGGACGGACACTATAATTTACATTTTTTTTTTACTATGTTCAATCTGAATTTACTTTAAAATGAAAAAAATGCTATATTGATTCTGACTCTTCTACATCCAGCTCACAGGTTTATCATTGCTTTGAGAAAAAAGATTATTAATGTACCCCTTTTAGAAGTGAAGATATGGTCATTTGTTCTGGGAATGTCATTTTCGAGCCTGAGACCTGAAAAACAGGCTCGGGGCTCAACTGGTTAAGGCAGCATTTATGATGCATTTTTAAAGGTAGCTGATTGGTAGCCTTTCCTTTCTTATTTTTTTTTCTAGTCGATTTTTGGTGTAATGTTTTTCTTTCCCACGAGAGGCTTTGTGTTTTTTTGCAAAAATACATCACCACTGTTAACTACTCCTGAACTTGGAGGAAAGAAACACATTAGGAAACTAGGGCTGCCATAGCTGAGATTTTATCTATACAGTTGTTGTATTCACTACCAATATCCTTGCAA